CAATGCATCCAGTCTCCTGACTTACAGCTTATTAAAAACAGCTGCAAAAAAAATGCTCCAAAAAGTTCCCAGAAGGGGACACTATTTCGCGAGCTAAATTTTGATATGTGCATTATTGAGCTAAAACTTTTAAGTGGGGTCTGTTGCTCTAGGACAAGGGGTAATGGTTTTAAACTAAAAAAGGGTAGATTTAGACTAGATATAAGGAAGAAATTTTTTACTATGAGGATGGTGAAACACTGGCACAAGTTGCCCTGAAAGGTGGTGGAGACCCCATTGCTGGAGGCATTCAAAGTCAGGCTGGATGGGGCTCTAAGCAGCCCGATCTAGTTAAAGATGTCCCTGCTCACTGCAGTGGGGTTGGACTGGATGACCTTCAAAGGTCCCTTCCAGCTCAACGCATTCTATGATAATGGTGAAGACACAAAACTGCAGGCTAATGTGGTCTAATCATGTAGCTATGTTTATTAATTTATTTTTTTTTTTAATGGGATGAGTTAAAGCTGAAAGGTGACAGTTTTAAGAAGGAAATGAGGAGAATAAAACACAAGCAGGGTTTGCAGGAAACTTTGGCCTGTAGACTCTTGAAATCCTTCCTGACAAAACTTCTCAAGCGAAAGAGTGCAAGACTAAACACGCAATTGAGAGCCTCCACGAGCTGGGTCTGTGCTCTTTGCTTATGGGAGCTCTGATATAACAAATCACCTTCCAAGCGGTTGTGCTGATTGTGAACGTAACCCTGGCCGCTTTTCAGATGCAGTAAAACTGTTGTGTGCTTAGATCAAGTCTGTTTATTTTTAGAGGTAAAGCCTTGTCTCTGCTGCAGCGAGCAAAGCTGGGCACAATTCCATCGCAGGTGTTTTACTGAGGACTTGATCTGTTTTATTCTAGAGTAAGAGAGAGAAAAAGCTGGCGTTCAGCACTGGAGCTCAGTGAAGGAGCATTTTAAGGGGAATCAGCTGAGTTGTAGTAATAAAGCAAGCTTTGGCCGCCTTTCAGGCCGTGCTCTCTCCTTTTTCTCACATTGTCTTGAGGCTTTAGATTTTCAGTTAAAGTTAATTGAATGAGACAGTGATACGTTGCACAGTGAAACCAGATCAATCACTGCACGAGTCAGAATAGGAGTCATGATGACACTGAGAACAAGAGCCTGGGAAATGTGATATTTACATTAAAATATTTTACTTTTTTTTTTCATGATTTTAAAACCAAATTTTAAAATGCATTATGGCATTTCGTAACACATTGGTTTTTCCTTATCTGTATGTATTTGTGTGTGTATATTTGGACCAATCATGCTCGAATAATCACAAAATCAGATTTTGTGATAATGGAGTATTTTCTACAGATATGTAGCCTCATTTAAAGAAAAGGTAAAACAGAAAAACTCCCACCAGGTAAACTCATTCTTTTCTCTGAGAGGCAATCATATGACAGTGAGCTGCACAGAAAGCTGTAGGAGAGTTTACTTTCATATGTAAGTGGTAACAGAGAATTTGACTGCTGTCTTCTCCATCTTCTTTCCCTTTAAATATTTACCTGGATGTTGTTTCTGACTCTTAGCTTGCAGGTAAAACTTGTCATTACTATTCACTTATGTTAACTGTATTTGCATGGAAAATAAGGGCTTGTTCCTCCCAAAATGGATAACTAAAAGCAAAGACTTAATTTTATGTTCATGATCTGAGTGCTGTAAAAACAACCAAAAGCCTTAATTAGCGTTTTCAGGTTTGTGACTCTCAGCTCAGTATCTAAATCCTCAGGGTTTTCATAGAGTCAGAGGGCTTTGTTTTCCTGACAGCATGTAAAGCACCACGCCACAAAAAAAGTTATCCTGCAGGAATACAAAACACGTAGTGTTTCATCAGGTGCTTTTCCACCAGGAACTGGGATAGTGGGCAATTTACATTCAGCAGCAGCAGCTGTTTTTTGGCAACATCCCACCCATCCCAACCCACTCCCTTCCCCCAAAAATGCAGGTTTTCTCCAGTGGAACCTCACCTCCTTTTTCTTTTCTTTCTGATCATGTTGTACCTTCAGAAAGTGAAGCCCTGACACTGAAAAATCAATATGCTTTAAATTTGGCATGCTAGACGTTTTCTACGTTGTATTTTTTGGGAGATTTTGGTTTTTTGTTTTTTTTTCCTTTTGGAAGCCTGACAGATGCATCTCTGGTTTCAGTGAAAGACCTGGATAATATGAACAAGCAGTCATTCTGTTCCATGAGGAGCATTTTTTAATATTCTTATTTTATTGTAATTACCTTATTGTTTTCATATTATGAGCTACTTGTAGAAAAATACAGGAAACATGACTGCAATGCAATACTTTAATCAGGAATAGCTTTGTTCCAGTCATCATTTTCATTCAGTGTTGAAACTCTGACTAGTAAGAATACAATCAAACCTTGAATTTAGATGTAATACGGTCTTAATATTATGGTTTAATTTGATCTCTGAACCTAGTACCTTCTATAAGAGAACCTTTTATTAAGTGCTTAGGAGACATTTTGTCCTCAATGTTATTTTCAAGTAAAACTAAGTACAAAGCAGTGTTTCTCAAAAGTACACAAACTTCTTCAGGAGAGCCATTTAAAATCTTTTAACCTAAGTCAGCTGGGGAATTTGTATTATCATATATATTAAATCTTCTTCTCTGTTTTTTTTTCTCACAGATTATGCCATAATACCTTTACTGCATCGTTGTTAAAGCACATTAATTTTTTAAGGAAAAATACTTTATTTTTTGTACTTGGTTGTCTGAGTTATCTCTGTGTATAATCCGGCATTGCAAGTAACGTTTACTGATTTGTAACCTCCCCCTAACGTTATTTTGGCCTATTCAGCAGCTGAGTGTTTATGTTTTTGAATGAAGGGCTGGAATTAGGTAAAGTATTTCTTTAGATAAACTGTTTTAACAAAAAGCATTTGTCCAAGAAAGTTAAAAGACTGCTCCCAAGCTGTTCAAAAGCAGAATGCAGCTACAGGAGGCGATGGCAATTCGTTCTGTTCTTCCCGGTCCAATTTTTTTAAATGAGAAGCCAGTATCCTAGATGAGTCTCGGTTTCAAAGGACATCTTGAATATAAAGATTGCGGATGTAAAATTATTACTTACACAGCATTCATAAAAATGAAACTCTAGGTTTTATATTATGGATTTTATGACTTAAAACTAGGTGATATTAAAACACTTCACTTCTAGCTAATGGCTTGAATTAGGACTGAATAAAAGGCAATTGTTTTTATACTAAAGTTATTATTTTAAGAAGGATTTCCTTGTTTCCAGGCACATATATACACACACATATATTATGTAAATTAAACTGAATTCCAGATAAAAGGCATACCTCCATGAGCACATTAGGGCCTGATCCAAATTTTATCAAAGCCTAATGGGAGCCTTTCCCATTTCAAACCAGATTTTGCAATCCATATTCACACGACCCTCCGGGGATCCCTCGAGCTGATGCGGTTTTGCATGACTTGGCCTCAAATGTCTGCTGCAGTTTCTAAAAACCCATTATAGGGCTGCAGTAGGAAATCATTTAGTCTAATTTAAGGAAATCACAGCATTTTTTATTTTCATATCATTCTGTTCTGATCTGTCTGTTTACTCTTTTCTGAAGGCAGGCTGCAATGTTTTTTAGCCTAAAGACTGATCTAGTAAAAACACTGCCTGGAATAGTCTCGGCAGACGTGTTTGTTCCACATCCCCTTCTTCGGTGCAATATTTCCTTTGGTGGATTTCCTCTGCTCCTGGAAGCGAGCTGTCTAGCTTTCTGGAGCACAGTCATGAAGAAGAATTTCCTACATTTTACTGCACAGGATGAGGTGATTTTGGAAGTTAACATGACCTGAACCACACATGCACAAAAGACAGCATCTGAAAAATGGAGCGTGCGGGCAGTAGCGTTAAAAAAACTACAGCCAGAAGATGCTCGTTAGCTCCACCGCTGGCCAGACCATGGAAGAAGGAGAGGAAAGGCAGTCCATCCATTTTTCTGGAGAGCCTGCTGTGTTATTGCCACGAAGTAAATGCAAGAGAAGAGTTCAGCCTTAGCCTTCTTGTTCTGCGATAAAGTTAGCTTGGTTTGATATTCTTTAAATATATAGCTTAGTTTGGTATTCTTTAAATATATAAGTTGAGTATTTACTGCTACAGAGAAACGAGGCATGTGAAGAGAGATGATACATTTTATTAAATCAACCCATACAGTTGGAAAAAGCTATTTAAACACAGTATTTGAACTTTAAAGGAAGATGCAGCCAGTTTTTTTCCATTCAATTAGAAACGCAGTCAAAGGAGCTATGTCTGTTCAGTTTTGTTACATTATTTTTCATGACTGATTGTGGGATTGTTTTGGTGTAGAACAGTAAGGTGAGTATGACTGAAGTCTTGGGTTTTATAATGGTTTCAAGCTAATTTCTTTTCATTTATGATATACTAAGACTTTTCATATGGACGCTCAAAATACTATAGAAAAAAAGATGTAGGCGTTCAAAAGCTCGATGTTTACTACTATTGCATGTGGTTGCCCATATTCATAACAGTCTTTCAGCATCATCTGTCTGTGATCACGTTTTTATTTGAAAGAGGCTAGTTGTCATGTTTGCTCTGTGATTTACATTATTTAAACAAATGGGGGAAAAAAGAATTTGAAACAGCTCATTCAATAGCATGACTAAGATATATGACAACTTCTTATAAAATGTTCATCATTATTCGTCCGTAAGGCTGGAGCTCAAACCCCGGGTGCACACGAAAACAAAGAATAACTCTTTCGGTCTGAAATAGCCTGGTGAAAGGATGCTGCCTCCTGGTGATTTATAGGCATAGGAGCTTCCACTAAAATTGCATCTTAAAGAGGACTATTCTCTCCTCAGAAGAGTCTGACGGCAGCCCCAGCCACACTCAGCTCATGGGAGAACGTGAGCAATGGGGAGGCCATTGCAGTGGGGAAGGCGGACATTTATCCCAGCGCCTCTCTTCTTTTCCACAGGATTTTCTGCAAGGAGACTGCACCAAAGCCAGACAAAAGCTGAACTGGAAGCCAAGAGTCACGTTTGATGTGAGTGGCCATTCTGGCGCACTTTGTACTTGTTCATGTCCTCTGAAAGAAAGTTATGGGGGGAAGGAGGGAGGGGAGCACGTTGGTGTGGGGTGACTTGAGCACACCAAGAAATCCCATTTTTGATGACACCCTACCCAGGTTCTTGGTTTGAAGATGGCAGCAATGGGCAGCCATGGTGCACAGCAGCACACTGACATGTACACCAGGGCCAGAACCGCTGTGGCAAGAGCCCAGCAAAGCCCCCTCCCTGTCCTGCTGCAGGGGGCTGGGGAGACTCGTCGTGGGTGCTCCCAGTGTGCTACCCTTTTGTCCCCAGTGCTGGGGCCCTCATCTGCCTCTTTTTCTTTTTTTTGGAGCTGGTGAGGGAGATGGTGGACGCTGACGTGGAGCTCATGAGGAACAACCCCAATGCTTGAGCCCCATCTGGGCCCAGCGGGCGTCGTGGGACCCTTGCCGGTGGTTCACGCCCCTGCCAGCACTGCCACGAGCTGTGACAGCCACTCTTCCCTGTGATGGTTTTAATGCTGGCCTGCCTGTGCGTGAAAGCCTGATTTTAACCCCCACTCCATTCTCCACACCCTCCCGGTGCCTCTTGCCCCACATGTATCCCAGGGTCAGCCCTGCTTGGGCTAACCCTGGCTCCTGCCATTAATTGGGAAGGGGTCACCACCCTACCCCTCGGATACTGTACCTGAAATACTGATCAGCCAGCAAGCCCACTGATTTCCTCTTTTTAATTAAAATTCATCTTTCTATCACCTAGGACCGCCGGCGCGTTTTTAGTACTCTCTCCCATTTGAAAAACAAAAGGGTCCCTTGTCCTCCCACCTCCCCTCTCTGCCAGCAACCTCTGGCACTTAATGTGGGCTCGCCACCCCTCCGGCCCTTGCTCCACAGCTTCCCCTCTTCTGCCTTTCCTGAACACTCCCTGTTTTTCTTTCCTGCAGCCTTATCTCCACCCCAGCAACCCATTCCCACCACTTGAACTCTGTAAAAAGTTTGGATAACTTGATATAACTTGCAGTGAAATCGCCTTTTGACCATGCTGAATTAATTCCTAGTTGCTAGAATAGCTTTCAAATCAATAAGAGGGAGCTTGTAAGCATTTTTCAGATCTTCATTTCAGACTGTGCGTGAGTCACAGAAAGCCTTTTTGTCCAGCACCTTCCCGGTCCAGGGTTTTAAGGTGTTTTGGTTTTTGCCTCCCCCAAATCAACCCACTTCTCTTCCACCTTCTTCCTGCTTACTATAATTAGACCTCAGATGACAGTTTGAATCATCTCAAAAGATGACTTAAGACATAAAACCAAAATAAATAAAAAAGCTTAAAAAATAGAAACTTCAAGGTGAGTAAATATTTTTGCGTTTTTTGTGCCAAGGTACCCGGGTTATGCAGAGGTCATCAAGCCCATACATTTCCCGTTGGTTTAGGATCTTCCACCCACCAATTACTCCCACCGTTTTAGCCTTACACCTTGAAATGAGCCAAGGGCCGAGATACACGGGAGGGAATGCACAGAAGAAACACCTTCTATGCGTGCACACCTCTTGCTTCTTCACCTTGTGTTCGGGGGGGACACCCCTGTGAAAAGGGAGACGGTGAGGTAGGGGGGCTGAGGGCAGAGCCGGGAGGGCCGCGGCTCCGGCCAGGCACTAGAGATGTGACACATTTCGTGATGGAAAATGTCGCGGGGAGGACGGGACAGGGCTCGGGAGGAACTGGGCTGCCGGAGAGAGAGGGCTCTTTGTGCCCCTGCCGGGAAAGGCAGGGGGCTGCGAGGGGTGCGGTGGAAAATGAGGGGCGTGGAGTGGGGGGCACCTGG